AACTAGGTGACAAAGCTGGTGGTGTATATAAATAACTCTCGTGGGAGTTAGCACAACTGGCAGAGAAGCAAGAGACTGTTTTCAGCCTGTATACTGTAAATACCTAAAAGTGAAATTCTAGAGATGTCACCTGAAAACAGCCCAAATTTCATTCTTTTTAGCAATGTTTGTATCTCCACCACAAAAAAAAAAAAAAAAAAAAAAGTTAAATCTACACTTTGAAAAAAGGAAAGAGATGACTGGGGAAAGCCAGCTGTCACTAAAGGACACATCTCTGCTCACTTGAGGCTGGACTGTGGGGTTCTGTGTGCACACATGGTGCATTGCCAGGATGCTCCCTGTCTCAAGCTCTGCCTGCACATCTCTTCAGCCTGTTTGTAAGGCAGCTGTGGGGAGAGAGAGAGTACAGCACAGCATTCACTTGGCCACTCTAGAGATAACTGTTTCAGAAAGGTATAAATACAAACTTTATTTACTGATGCCTGCTCCTCTGCAGGAAGCAGAAAATGGTGTAACATCTGTTTGCTACTGTGGTGCCCACTTTGCAGACTCAGACTTGGTAGCCTACAGCCCACCTTTGCTGATAATCCTAGAAGAGAGTTCAGTAGTTTGTTTCCAGACACATTTCTACGTAACCTGGCTTTCATTGCCAGGCTGTTGAACAAACATTAGAAAGTGTGCTAAGCACTAAGGAGGTGACTATGAAAGTACCAGCACTGCCCCTGAGCAGTGTGCCACATCTACTGGTTTGCACTCCTCTCACAAGAAAACACAGCCCTATGAGCTCTCTTTACCTAACTGTTTCTCCTCTGCTCTTTAATTTGTCTGGAAACAAAAGAAAACGTTGAAGGGCTGCTTTAAGAAAATGCCCAAACATTATCTGCAGCTGGAAAAAAAATAATTAAAATAAATGATCATAATATTAAAGGAAGCTCTGCCAAAAAATGCAAACGTAATCACAGCACCAGATGGTCTAGCTACATTTCTTTATTTAAAGAAATTATCTTTTCATAGCCACAGAAAAAGGCTGAGAGAATGGTTCAGGTGGGAATCTGAACCCACCTTTAGCAGCTGAATTCCTGAGACAAACTCTTGCAAGTCCCAATTCAGCGACACTGTGTAATGAGGCAATCGGGCTTGTGTCTGCTGGGTCAGAGGATCACTGTGCTCTGGGATCCCACGTCCTGGAGTGCAGGGAGGAATTCAGGTTAAGATTAGGATTCACCATGCTGTTGGGTTAGCATCCAAACGTAAACTTCAGTGGGATTGCCCTTCCCTTCAGGAAGGCCTAATGCTCTAATGTTCTGAGTTAAGGCTAAAATGCTGTGTAAGATACCTGTAAATGAAAAAAAATTCTGTGGATATATTTTGAAATTCTGAGATCATCTCTGCATATCCTATTGAAAGTGACTGCTTATTGACGATTTTGTTATAGCTCTGGCAGAATCACGAATAGAAAAATCTCCCCATCCCAACAAGAAGCAAAATAAAATAAATAATTTTCTGGGATACATCTAAAAGAAATTGCTAGAAATTGCTAATTGAATTTTAATGTCTAACTTCATAGGTAACTCATTAAAAAAAAAAAAAAGAAAGGCTTAAATGTAACTCTTAAAAAAAAATAGCAACAGTGAAGAATATCATAAAGCAACTAAAGCATCCAGTCAAACAATTCAGAAGTTCTCAACAGGACAATGACTTGCATGGGGTTTTAAGATTTGAGGCCTAGTTTGCTATACTTTACCTAAAACAAACAAATAAAAGTATCTATTAGTCGCTGCAGTGTTGTGCAGAGGGTGACTGAACAAATGAATGAATAATTACGTGCTACTTCCACACTACACTGAGGAATCACTGCTGTCATCTGCATGCCCATTAATCTCATTTTATGTGCAATTATCTATAAATTGGGCCCTTGGCAAGCAGTGACATCCTGAGACATCTCCAGAAAAAGGTTTGTTATCTGCATTTATTTGTGACTAGTATTGGTCTAGTATTAAATGTGTAGGTTGGTGGCCAAGCCGCGGTGGGGGGGAGGGCTTGGAGATTCATGACCTTTGAGGTTCCTTCCAATCCGGGCCATTCTGTGATTCTGTAATGGCCTGTTTTATAAATCTACTATGCATGTTTACAGTTTGCTTTACTTCTGTACAGCAAATGTTTTACAGACATAGGTGGATTTTTTTCTACACATAAGGTATGTGTAGGCCTGTCAGGTCTAGAATGACAGAAAAGGATAGAAATACAAAAATAAGGACATAGAAAATTGATGTAATGACACCTGCTATTGTGTGTGGTATGCTAATTGTTATTTACTGATGGGGAAGGCAGAAAACAGTTTTTGACAAGTTTTTCCTTTTATAAATCAAGTTATCCTCATGGCAGATCATAGCTCTTTAAAAATATACCTAAACTGGTCAGATATTACATAGCTAGCTGAAATTGCATGTTGAAACTTGCTACTAAAAGATGTAAACAGGTGAAATTCTAAGAGAAGGGAAGGTAAAATGGGCAAATGTAGGCTGAAACAGCTTGAAGAGAGACCCATGGCATGGTCTGAGTTATGCCTTTGTCTAGAAACTCCATCTTTCTAACTCACCCCTTTGTCACTTGTGCTAGTGTTGAGGGACAGGATGAGGATATCCATGCTTCTTTAAAGCAGTATCTACACAACAGAAAGCTCACTCTTGACAAGTGAAGGGGCTACTGCAACCATTTACACAATCCCAGTTGGGCTTCCTGTGGCTTATTCCCTTGTGAACTGCACCTCCAGCATCCTCCTTTACACAGCAGAAAATGGAAAAAGATTTAGCAAAATGTTTTATGGAAACAACTAAGTATTGAAAATATTGCAGAGATAATACTTCTGGGTATTCTTTGGTATGCTATCCATTACATTATTGAACTGGAGGGAAGTTTCAGATAAAATATTTTTACAGGCAAATTACAATCTTTGGAGAACATCATGATATTTGGAGAATAAGGTAAAGATTGCTGAAAAATCTAGGCAATTTGTCATAGCATTATTTTGGCTAACAGCTCTGTTTAGAGCAGTTTATTCAAAACCACAAATGGCCTGTTTCAAAGGGACTGATATATGAAAGATGAGTATGTACTTGCTTTTGCTTTTCTGGATTGGATGATAGAAAGGGAATATTTTTAGGCTTAAACACAATGTTATGGTTCAGGGTCATTTCTTCCTAGGCTAGTTATTAAGATAGCCCCAAACACTAAAATGTACAGAAGATCCTGTACTGTTGGCAACCTTGATAAAATGTATCTTAATAGTCATATTTTGATTTAGAATACTGTACCAGAAAAAAAATTAAGAACCTGAAAATTCAAATTTTCTTTCAAATTTTAACATATGCCAGAAATTTACCTAAGCATCATCATGTTTCAGATTCTAACACAGATGGAACTATTTCTTGAATGAGATGGATAAGGTCCATCTTATCAACACGCTACTACTCTTTTCTCACAAGACAGGGCAGAGTATGCGCAGGTGTTTAATTTTATGTCTGGTATTTTAGGGTGTCAATATTTCACAAATGCTTCATTAGAATCATGTGAAAATAAATACATGGTATAAAAATACAAAAACACAACATGCGTATATATATACACACACATACGTATGAATAGAAAAAAAGGGAGACTGCAGGCTGTGGCTACCCATTGGCTGCAAGTATTCACAGTGCCACCATGAAAGATAGTGTTGAACTGTATGAGATGCTAGTAAGTACAAACAGAAATGACTGAATTTGACTCCTACAGGCCATGCACAAGACAGCATATTCTCTTATGAGATACTTTGTTCTGTAGTAGGGGAAAAGAAAGAATGAAACTTGGACTTCTAATATCAAGTTAAGTGTGATTTCACCAGGGGATACAATAACAAAGCAGTTTACATCAACCAGTGTAGAAATCTGAGTAAGGACACTTTGAGAAGACATAGTTAGCTTAGGGGAAGATCTGAATCTCTCAACTTAATCAATCCCCTTGTCACTAACACTACCACAACCACTAATCCCATTACTGTGCCTTGTTATTTACATGGACATTCTTTTCAGGCAATTTTTTCTCTCTCTAGGCAGCTGTCAGGCAGGGAGTACAGAAGGCCTCATTCCTGTCTCTGGAGTTATCACAGCCAGACTTGTTCCATGCTGCTAAAACTAAGAATATCTCCCCTTTAAAAGAAATATATTTTATTCTTACCACGTTTGCATTATTAAGAAAAAAAGGATTTGTAAAATATTATCGTATGGCAATACACAGACTTTAATATTAATGCCATTTTATTAAAAAAAAAAAAATCCTCTAAAATAGAAAACATTAAACTTAAGCATGAATAAATACTAGTATCTGCCTGGAAGCTACATCTGTGCCCTTTATCTCCCATCTTTTGACATCCCGTGAACATCTCCAGAAACTTACAGAACATTTTCTCTTGAGCAAAAAGCTCCATGTGGATATGGATGGTAGTCTTTGAGAAATATCTAGAGGTCTTCTAATTTCTGACTCACAGGGCTCCGAGCTGGCGGCATCCCATAACCAGGTTTTATACAATAATTAGACAGTCGCTCAAATCATTGTTGCTCAGTTCTTTTCCCTCAGAAAATATTCCTTATGCAAGATTCTGCCTGTTCTGCTGACAGATAAGAAAACGTGCTTTCAAATTGGTCCTGCTATGACTGACAACACTGTGCTATTCAAGAAGCATAAGCCTTAGGTTATTCTTAGGTTCTTTTGAATTGCTATGAAACACACTTCTGCTCTGAAATGTCCAACCCTACAATTTTAAGCTTTCATTTTGCTCTTTGCAATTTTATCTCTGCAAGGCAGCATAACTGCAGCAATTGCACATCTCATTTCAGAAAAATAAAGCAACATTCGTTTCACATTTTAATGGCTTACTGTTAGGTGTGGAAACTAGTTCACAGGAAATGAAGAAAGCGATTATAAATGAAAATGAAAAACAGCAAAACCCAATTACTCACACGTGCTAGGCTGGTGCCAGAAGGAACTTTATAAGGGACATACTTCCTGTAGATATGCCCAACTCTAGAGCATGGAACATCGAACATGCCACCTCCACACATCCACACCTGGAAGGAGACCAAAAGCAAATTAAAGAATGATTCCTGAAGACACATGGAGCAAAACATGGCATTTTAATTTGTGGGATATGTGAAAACTACACATCATTCTGTACTGACTTTTCCTGTATTCATAGTAGTGGCCTTATTTGCATGCCCAATGCTGGGATTAGATAATAAGGTTCTTTGGTACCTGGCATCTCACCTTACAAAAGCAGAGTATGTTCAAAATAAAAATATAAAACATTTACTATATCAATGATCCTCCTGAAAAACCAGCAGGATATTATTAAGTAAGCTGTTTAAAACATACAGGACCGAAATTTCAAAAGGACATGAGAATTCAAACAAGCCAGCAATCAGAAGAAAAAAAAATCAAAATACCCATCTTTCATATTGAACAGTGAACATAAAGCTCCATTGTTAAGGTATTCTCCAATTTATAAGGAAAAATAAACAAAATCAATTAATTTATTATCAAGATCATGCAGAAAGAGAAAGAAGAGCACGTCACTTCTTTTTGTAATTAATACATTTAACACAGAAATAAATGGGGTCATCTGGAGGATATGTGTGATGCTTCAGGTTAGAGCAACCAGAACTCCCACAAAAATGATGGGAGATGCAAGGCCTTCACAAGACAAAAACTTATTTGTGTGCTGAGGGGCAGCAAACAAAGAACTCCACTCAATACTTCACCTAGCGTGACTACACTATACCAAGTATATGGGAGAGCTAGGTTGTGTGCCATGTCAGAGGAACAATGGAAATAACTGACAATACCACTGTCTATGCTGAGCCACTAAACTACCAAGGTGGTTACTGGATGACTTACGTGGTATGCTGACAACATTTATAACATTCTGATTTTAAATAAGTAGATAAATAAAGCAATTTGACTTTGCAAATCAGAGAAATAGAAAACAATAACAAAAAACACTATCAGAAATCCCCCAAACAGAATATTTTTTCAGCAGTCTAAAACCAATAAGGTATAAAAAGTTTAAAATTCACAGTGAAGGGAGCATATAAACAGGAGGGGAAATGACTGTTTATATGGGTGGATAGTGATAGAACAAGGGGAAATGAAGACAGGGGAGGTTTGGGTTAGATATTAGGAGGAGGTTTTGCACTCAGAGGGTGGTGAAACACTGGAACAGGCTGCCCAGAGAGGTTGTGGATGCCCTGTCCCTGGAGGCATTCAATGCCAGGCTGGATGTGGCTCTGGGCAGCCTGGTCTAGTGGTCGGTGGTCCTGCCCACTGCAGGGCAGTTGAAACTATATGATCTTTGAGGGCCTTTTCAACCCAGGCCATTCCATGATTCCATTATTCTATGATCTGCAATGTCTTAAGGGAGAGTATGGGAGGCAGAAATTCAGAATCTGTCTCCTGGAGCCAACGATGTGCTGCAAAGCAGAGGCTTGCTGGGCCAGGCATGGCCTTTGTTACAGTGAGAGACTGTACAAAACCCACTCTGAGCTGGCAACCTGGAGATGGCCTTAAGCACAGTGCTGCCATCTCTATGTCCACCAGAACCCCAGTTCCATTTCCGCGAAGCCCTGCTCCCCATACCGAACCCTCCAGCCCTCCAATTACACCACATCCCACCAAGTCCGTCAAGTGCATCAAAGTGGGACAGGGACAGTTTGCACTCCCAGGGCTACGGACATGCAAAATGAACACTTGGTCTCCCTTGTGCTGGAGAGCCCAGTTCTGGGCCCAGAGCTCCAGCTGTGGCCTATTCAGAGCTGAGCAGAGGAGCAGGATAACTGCCCTTCACCTACCGGCAGCACCCAGCCTCATGCAGCCCAGAACACCATTCACCAAGGCAACCTGGGCTCCTTGCTGGTTCAGCCTGGTGTCCAGCAAGACTTCTAGCTCTGCTGCAGCTGGCTAACCCAGCTGTAGAGTGCTCTGGGGATGCCTCTCCCCAGGTGCAGAAATTTGCACTTTCCTTCTCTGAAGCCCGTGGGGTTCCTGTCTGGAATGCAACAGTGGCATGGCATGGCAGGAAAAAGGGAAAAAACTGTCAAGGATGGGGAAGCAACAACCGCTGTGCTTTGCTGTTAGCAATACTAACACATTTTTTTTATTAATTTTTTGCAGTCTTTTGTTCTACTTTATTTCCATGGTGGAACTGGACACTGATGGCAAGGGTCCATTGGGGCCAGTGTATGTCCCAGCTGCTGCCTGGCCCCAGTCTCTTCAACTCCACCACTGCTCTAATCCTGCTGGCGGGGTGGCCTCTTTTTTGGTGATGCTGAGGGCTGGGAGTTGCTGGCTTTCCTCTTTGGGGCTCGCCGGGTCCCCTCAGGGGGGTTGGTGCCAGAGGGCCCTGCCACAGTCTCTTCTGGCTCCTCACGGGGTACTGCTTGGTCCGTGGTGACATTCGCAGGGTTGGAATGTGGGCAGCTGGGATGCCCATTGAACTCTTCTCCTGTCCTGCCCAGCACGTCATCCCTGTTGGAGCTGGCAGGGCTGCCGGAGGATGCTGGGCTAGGGACAGGAGCCTCCTCTCCTGGGGCAGCTCTGGGTTCTGATGCAGTGGCCTCCTGTACCCCAGCAGCAGGGGCGATGTTGAGGCCCAGCAAGCGATGAGCCTCCCTGGCGCACCTCTGCACAGTGAAGGTGATGAAGCGCCTTACAAAGGTCACCACATGGCCCTGCAGGTCGGGTTCCAGCATTTCTATCAGGATCTCTTCTGCCAAGCCAACGAGGAGCAGGGCCCAGATGACACTGCATGCCACTGTATTTGCCTGTGGCTCCTCGCTGCCCAGGATGTGTCGCAGTTTCTGTCGCAGCCAGGAGCGCAGAGGCCGCAACAGGGCTGGGTGCTCCCTGAAGAGGGAAGCCCAGGTGGCAGGGGACAGGCCACCCACAGGATGCGTGGGCACTCCAGGCCATGGCTGGGCTGCTCGGGGGCCTGTCGGGCTCCGTCTGGCAGTGGATGCCACTGCAGCTGGTCTGAGGACCAGCTCCTCATAGTCGTTGTCCGCTCGCACGGTGTGGATGATGGACCGCACACCCTGTTTACAAAGCGGACACTGGGGCCTGGTGCTAGTCCACCGCTGGATGCAGGGGAAGCAGAACTGGTGGCAGCACGGCATGGTGTACGCCATGCTGTCCCAGTTCTCCAAGCACACGGGGCAGCGGGTGTCTAATGCTGCCTCCATGCTTCCACCAGTTGCAGTGGGCTAGGGAGAGCGGAAGATGGCAACACGCTCCCCAGCACTGACGCTACAGCAGCAGGTGTCACACTGGAAGAGGACAAGAGACATTAGTCACACACTGGCCTGGGAAGGGTCCCTCAAAATGAACCCCCCCAACGCCAGCCCCGTGCCGCCTACCTATGCTGCTGCACACGCCTCTCTGGGATGTCCCGTCTGCCTGCTCCCAGCAGGGACGGGGTAAAGAAAAAGTGGTTCTGAAATGGCTGCTGAGAGCTGTGCTAGCAGCACCCAGAGCACGTTCAGCACCAAAGTTCGCCCAGTCCACACTCCAGTCCTCGCACACACGCTCGGTCGGAGGCCAGGCACGAACTGCTGGGCTGAGCTGCTACACCCACGTTAAAGCGTCTGTGGGCTATGGAGTCACAATCCGTTGCCTGGAGATGTCTCAAACCTCAGGCTGGCCAAGCTGTTGGGCGTCACCTTTATTCGACCTTCACTTGGGGGCATCACTGCCCATCCCACAGCGATGTCAAAGTCCATTGTTGGATCATCACAATGAGCTGTCCTCACCTGCAGCACGTGCTCCAGCGCCAGCACTAGTTTCACAAGTTTCTGGGCTTTTCCCAGTGCCACTGCCCACTACATTCTTCACATCTCGTGTGCTTGGCACTGGTGTTTCACACCAATCACCAGGGCCTTGGCCACATCTTCCCATGGGCCTCATCAGGTTGCTCTGGCCATGGTAGGCAGCCCCAGACATGTACAGCAAGATTTATTCAATAAAAGTTCATGTTTCTCTCTGATAGTAGGACTTGATGATCTCAGAGGTCTTTTCCAACATTAATGATTCTATGACTCTATCATTCTTAGGCTGCAGGAGGAAGCCCTACAGGCTTTCCCCACACTCCAGCTCTGCTGGCCAGCCCTCTGGAACACCCAGGTTCCTCCCGAGGGATGTAAAAACCCAGGGCTGTCTCTGGGGGATTTTCTCCTCCTTGCAGAGCAATCAAACAAACTGCAAGCCTTGGTCCTCTGTCCACGCAAGGGCTTGCAACAGTTGGCCCCCAATTGGCTTGTCCTTATCAAGAATTATTTGATGTTATTTATCCAGGACATTCCTGGAGTCTGTTGAGGATAACTTCCTGCTCCAGGTATTAGACAGATCGACCTGACCTGAAACACTACTGGATCTCGTGCTCACTAATGCAGAGCAGAGAATTATCAAGGTTAAGATTGGAGGCAGCCTGGGCTGTAGTGATTGTGACCTGGTGGAATTTGTGATCTGGAGGAAAAAGCAGCGTTGGGACCCTGAACTTCAGGGGAATGAACTGGAAACAAAAATTCCCCAGCCCCTTCCCAACTTGTGTAAAAGAAGACCACATACAAGCTGACATAGAAGAGGCTTGTCCTTTAAGAGCTTCTTTATGTAGTCTCATGTAAAGATGTGTCATGAAACATTTCCATTCATTGAGGTGAGAATTCAGGTCCATGTATTACATATGATCTTATGTGTATTCGAAGCATTCTGGAGTGAGATGAAGCAAATTTGCGACCTAGGCTAAAGCACAACAGAACAGATGACGGAATATCTTACCAATGAATGACTTACATGCAGTAAGGAATTCATCAGGAAGTTGAAATGCTCCTCATTAAATCAACAGTAATCAGATCCCTAACAAAAGGTATCAGAAAATATAATTACGAAATATTTGATGTTTTCTGTGAGGCCTAAAGAGAACAATGTGCATCTATACTTTTTAACCTTACATTTTGTACCCTCCCTCTCCTGCCTACTAGCTAGCTGGCTGTAGCTGCTGGCTTACTGAAATCACAGGAAA